GCACTCAGTGCCGAAAAGGTTCACCATCACTGGTATAGGGCAAGGGTCAGCAATCTGCGGCTCTGGAGCCGCATGTGGCTCTTTCATTCCTCTGCTGCGGCTCCCTGTTGCTGGTCGGCTCCACAATTAATGGGGCTTTCAGTTAGGACAGGTAGAGGAAAAAGGACGCCGTGCTAGGAGAAGGCTCTATGGTAGTGGTGGTGGAGGAGAAACTGTACTTCTGGTCGGCTGAATAAAAAAGGACGCTGTGCTAGGGGGAGACTCTATGGTAGTGGTGGTGGAGGAGAAACTGTACTTCCGGTCGGCAGAAGAGAAAAGGACGACGTGCTAGGAGGAGACTCTATGGTAGTGGTGGTGGAGGAGAAACTGTACTTCCGGTTGGCAGAAGAGAAAAGGACGCCATGCTAGGAGGAGACTCTGTGGTGTGTGGCGGGGGGGAACCAGACTTCCAGTTGGCTCCAGAATTGAACGGGGGCTTCCGGTTAGGACCTTTGTGGCTCTTTAAGTGTTTAAGGTTGCCGACCCCTGGTATAGAGTTTCTTGCTTGAGCAGAAAGCAGAAAGTTGGACTAGAAGACTCTGTTACTTTTTTTTTTGTTTTTATTCAATTTGTATACCGCCCTTCTCCTAGTGGACTCAGGGCGGTGCACAGCCAAAACTAAAACACATAACAATACAAAATTTAAAATTATTAAAAGAATTACATACTTTGGCCCAATTTTAAAACAATTCGAATTAAAACCCATTGACTGATTAAAAGCTAAACAACTAAAAAACTAAAAACTAAAATACTCTGTATTGTGTATCCCCTGTGAAATTCTCTGCCTCCGGGTTTTTTCAAACTTGGCCATTTTAAGAGGTGAGGACTTCCAAGTCCCAGAATTCCTCGGCCGTCACGAATTCCGGAAGTCGGTCCACACACCTTTAAGAAGTTGCCAAGTTTGGGGGGGGGGAAAAAACAACAACCCTGAGAAATGATTGGGAGCAGCTCTTCTTTCACCCACGGAGGCAGGAGAGGTTTGCCTGGGTTGCGCCCACGGACGGGGCTCAAAGAGAGAGCAGAGTGGCCTTCTCGGCCTGTCCCTCCTTGCTTCTTCAGCTGGGCTTCTTGGGTTCCTTCCAGCTTCACGGCAGGCCTCGTTGACGGAAAGCTGACTTCCCGCTTTTGCTCAGCTCCTCCTCTGGCCCGAGCTGAAAGGCGTGCATCATGCCACTCGCGGGTGGCGTCATCAGCCTTTCAGGAGCCTGGAGTGCGTGCCTGAGAACAAAACAGCCACCTGCTGATAATTTGGAACGGGCTCTGGACCGGCTCGGTGGCACGGCGCCAGGGTTAGTGCGCGGAGCAAATTCCAGGCCGTTGGGCTAAGCTTAGAAACTTCGAGGCCAGGAAGGGCCTCTTCTTGGAAAGGAGAGAAGCAACCTTAGAACTAAGGAGAAATTTCCTGACAGTGAGAACAATTCATCAGTGGGAACAACTTGCCTCCAGAAGTTTTGAATGCTCCAACGCTGGAAGTTTTTTAAAAAGAGATTGGATAACCATTTGTCTGAAATGGTGTAGGGTTTCCTGCCTGGGCAGGGGGTTGGACTAGAAGACCTCTTAAGGTCTCTTCCAGGGTGGATTTGATTTAAACCCAAGTCGTGATTTCAACCAAGTTTAATTACTTGATTTAAACCAAGTAGTGATTTAAATCACTAGTAAAAAGCCTTGATTTAAATCAAGTCGATTTAAATCATAGTTTTTAAAGAGCAACTGTCATCTCTGCCCCGCAGCAGCTCCTCCTCTCTGACCCGCTGTTGACTCACCGACCGTCCCAATATTGCAGAATCTGCAGCCTCAGGCTACAGAACTAAGCTCCATTTCATGCTGAATAAACTAAATTATGAATGTATCTTAAAAAAGAAAACTCTCTTTAGATAGATTTTTACTTGAAAAGCATTTTAGTAAAATAAATTTGATAAAAATAAAAAAAAATCTGATTTAAATTTTTTTAAAAATCAATTTTTATACACCCTGGTCCCTTCTAACTTTGTTTATCCAATTCTATTCTATTCTATTCTATTCTATTCTATTCTATTCTATTCTATTCTATTCTATTCTATTCCATTCCATTCCACTCCACTCCACTCCACTCCACTCCACTCCATTCCATTTATTCTGCTCTGTTCTGTTCTGTTTTGTTCTATTTTCTATAATTCCTATTCCTCTTCTCTTCTCTTCTCTTCTTTTCTCCTCTCCTCTCCTCTCCTCTCCTCTCTTTTGTCTTCTCTTCTCCTCTTCTCTTCTCTTTTCCTATTCTCTTCTCTTCTTCTCTCCTCTCCTCCTCTCCTCTCCACTCCTCTCCTCTTTTCTCTTCTCTTCTCTTATTGTCTTCTCTTCTCCTCCTCTCCTCTCTTTTCTCTTATTCTCTTCTCTTCTCCTCTCCTCTCTCTTCTCTTTTCTTATTCTCTTCTCTTTTCCTTTCTCTTCTCTTCTCTTCTCACTCAGGAAACATAAGAGAATGGAAGTTTCCCTTGCTTTCTGCAAAGTCCTGTAGGGTCTCACAGCATACCGTGGGGATGCCCCAAAGAGTGGAATCAGGTGCTTTTAAAGAGCTCATTTGTATTTAAGAAACATCAGCGCCCTACTTTCCTGCATGGCAACGGGCAAGGCGTCTCGTAAACAAAGTGGGCATTCAAAACCGGCCAGCGGAGGATTATCATGAAAGCAAACAGCTCAGAATTGGCATCAACGCAGCCAGCCCATCAGCTGCCTCCACTCAGCAAGCCAAGCAAAGCATCCTAAAGATTTGAGATGAACGTTTGGCATAATGGGAACTGGTTTTTGTTTTTGGTCTTCTGCTTCAGATAATTATTTTCCAGGCTGTAAGTGGTCTTCTCGCATAGTTGTGCATCCCACCTTCCCTCCAATCCCAAAACAATCCCTTCTTTCTAGGTGTAAAGAGGGAGAGAATCAAAAGCAACAGTGAATGAGATTGTGATGATCAGTTCTGGACTGCAGAACTCTTAATGTGCCACCAGATGGCAGCATTTTCTATTTCACGGCCCCCTAGTGGCTCTCCAGTTTTTTGCAGCCCAGGTGCAGTAGCTCTGCTACCATGGCTGTTTTGTGAGTATTTCAGAAGTGGGGTTTCAGCAGGTTCTGACCAGTTCTGGAGAACCGGTAGCGGAAATTTTGAGTCGTTCGGAGAACCGGTAGTAAAAATTCTGACTGGCCCCGCCCCCATCTATTCCCTGCCTCCCGACTCCCATCTGATCGGGAGGAAATGGGGATTTTGCAGTAACCTTCCCCTGGAGTGGGGTGGGAATGGAGATTTTACAGTATCCTTCCCCTGCCACGCCCACCAAGCCACGCCACACCCACCAAGCCACGCCCACAGAACCGGTAGTAAAAAAAATTGGAAAATTGATATATTTGCTTGACTTTCACGATCATGTCAGCATAGATTATTAGGCAAGGAACCGACAATAAGAACAATAAAATAACTCCTACATCTGTGAACACAAAGACGCCAAGATCGAATTCAAAACCTTCTTGAATCCTTCTGAAGAAGGGGAGAGGCAGCTCACGAAACCTTCCGCCTTTTAATGAATATTATTAGTTGGAAAAGACACTGTCCTGATTTGTTTAATATGCAAAAGTTGCCTTTAGCAGGCTCACTAGGGCAAGACTTCGAGTGACGGCTCAAAGGTTGGGACCATCCAAATCTCAGAGGCCGTGGGGTACCCTAGATCTTGCTATGATTGTGGTCCTGCACCCTGTTTCCCCACATCTATGGCTTTGGAAAGGTTGGGGAGGCACCCCGTGAGCCTTGGCTTCTCTTCTCTTCCACAAGGCGGAGAACTTGGCCCATTTATTTCCGACTTTGCCTTTCTGTGCTGAGCATTTGGAGAAGTGTTTCTCAATCTTGGTAGCTTGAAGATGGGTGGACTTCAACTCCCAGAATCCCCCAGCCAGCAGCGCTGGCTGGGGGATTCTGGGAGTTGAAGTCCACCCATCTTCAAGCTTCCAAGGTTGAGAGACACTGATTTGGAGGGTTCCTTCTCTTTCAGAACGGTTGCTGCAACTGGGTATGTCTGTTGTTGTTGTTAGTTGCGAAGTTGTGTCCAACCCATCGCGACCCCACGGACAACGTTCCTCCAGGCCTTCCTGTCCTCTGCCATCCTCTGGAGTCCATTTAAGCTCACGCCGACTGCTTCAGTGACTCCATCCAGCCGCCTCGTTCTCTGCCGTCCCCTTCTTCTTTTGCCCTCCATCGTTCCCAGCATTAGGCTCTTCTCCAGTGAGTCTAGTCCAGGCGTCAGCAATCTGCGGCTCTGGAGCCGCATGTGGCTCTTTCACCCCTCTGCTGCGGCTCCCTGTCACTCAAACTATGCATCGCAACTGCCAATGTGCGACACCTGCCGGCACACAATTTATTGAGCTTTTCAACCGTGGATAAATCCAAGAAAAGAAAAGTTTCAGAAGAAAACAGAGCTTTTAATTCAACATATGCTAGTTTTGTGGCCGCTCAAGAAATAGTCAGGCATGGGAAGGGTTTTTGTGGCTCCCGGTGTTTTCTTTTCTGTGGGAAACGGGTCCAAATGGCTCTTTGAGTGTATAAGGTTGCAGACCCCTGATCTAGGGTATGTCTAGTCTGATGAAAAGAAGGATGAGGGGAGACATGAAGCAGTCTTCCAATATCTCAGGGGCTGCCCCAAAGAAGAGGGAGTCAAGCTATTCTCCAAAGCACCTGAAGGCAGGACAAGAAGCAAAGGGTGGAAACTTATCAAGGAGAGAAGCAACTTCGAACTAAGGAGGAATTTCCTGACTGTTAGAACAATTAATCAGTGGAACAACCTGCTTCCAGAAGTTGTGAATGCTCCAACACTGGAAGTTTTTAAGAACATGTTGGATAACCACTTATCTGAAGTGGTGTAGGGTTTCCTGCCTAAGCTGGGGGTTGGACTAGAAGACCTCCAAGGTCCCTCCTTCCAACTCTGTTATTCTATTTCTACTTCCAGGGAAATCCCACATGGCTATTGTGCAGAAGGTGAACAACGAAGGGGAAGGGGACCCGTTCTACGAAGTCATGGGGCTGGTGACCCTGGAAGACGTCATTGAAGAGATCATCAAGTCGGAGATCATGGATGAGTCAGACGACTACAGTAAGTGGGTTCCAACACAGGTATGGCCTGTTTAAGGCATCTTCTGCTTCTGTTTCTGACTCTCCTTGTTTTTCTTAGCCCCGCTAAGTTTGCTTTTTGCTAGAATGACAGGTCTCTGCCTTCTAGAGCTCTAAAGCCCATCATCCCAGAGAGAGCAGGAAAGCTATGGTAGGTTCTAGAACGAGGGAACAAAGCAACATCGGAGCCTACAGTTAACTCATAAAGCTCAGCCGCTTTAAGATGTGTGCACATCAACTCCACCATGCCGGAGTTGGGGAATTCTGGGAGTTTATTTATTAACCTAGGGAAATTTATATTGCCGCCTATTCACCCATGGCAACTCGAGGCGGCTTACAAGAATATATAAACATCATATTAAAAAAAACAATAAAACTAATAAAAGAGAGAATCATATAATAAAATAATATACCATATTTTTTGGAGTGTAAGACATATTTTTCCCCCTCTAAAAGAGGGTGAAAATTTGGGTGCATCTTATACACCAAATGTAGCCCCGCCCACCCACTGGCCCCCACCCTTTGGCCTCTGCCTCCCAGCAATTTGCCTCCTTGCAGCAAACGTTCCGTTTCAGTTTCAGCTTCAGCACAGTCTGATTATCACAAGCAGCTGATTGTCAGTTGGATCGGCCTTCCCACCATCAGCTGTTTCAGGCTGCAGGGATTGCCATTGCCTATTGCCCTGCAGGCCTCCGCTGTTCGCTGCAAGGAGGCAAATTGCTGGGAGGCAGATTTTTTTTTTCCTTGTGCTAATCAGGCTGTGATGTAAATGAAAGTAAAGCAGGCTGTTTGTTGCAAGGAGGCAAAATTGCTGGGAGGCAGAGGCAGATTTCTTTCTCTTGTGCTAATCAGGCTGTGCTGAAAATGAAACAGGCTGTTTTGCTGTTTGCCGCAAGGAGGCAAAATTGCTGGGAGGCAGAGGCAGATTTGTTTCTCTTGTGCTAATCAGACTGTGCTGAAAATGAAACAGGCTGTTTGCTGTTTGCTGCAAGGAGGCAAATTGCTGGGAGGCAGAGGCAGTTTTTTTCCCCCTTGTTCTCCTCCCCAAAAAAGGTAGGTGCGTCTTAAAGTCCAGAGCTTCTTATACACCAAAAAATATGGTAATAAAATCCCACCCACCCCCACCTCCTGCCCCGGCGACAGCACCTCACACGAGCCATTGAATGGGCTCCATCCTGCTCTTGGTTCCCCAGGCCCACTGGCAGAACCAGGTCTTCAGCGCCTTCCGAAAGAGTGTCAGAGTGGAGGCCATTCTAATCTCTGTGGGAATAATGTTCCAGAGAGAGGGAGCCACCACGGAGAAGGCCCCCCTTCTGGGTCCCACCAGGTGGGACCTGCAACATTCCCTGCCTCCCCGCTCTGCTGGGTCGGGTATGTTCCAGAGAGAGGGAGCCACCACGGAGAAGGCCCTTCTTCTGGGTCCCACCAGGTGGGACCTGCAACATTCCCTGCCTCCCCGCTCTGCTGGGTTGGGTAGATGTGACCGGCAAGAGACGTTGAGTTGAAGTCCACCCATTTTAAAATTGATTGAGGAACACTTGAGTTATTTCCAGGGTTTATTTAACAAGCAGTTTTCACAGAGGCCTCCATTTCAAGCTTTTCCTCCCCAATTTCTATCATCTTCATTGCCCAATTTAGCCCACCCAGCGCCCAGGGTATTTAAGACAGGATATTTATTCTACTACAGAGCCCATGGGAGCTTCCTTTTCTGTAGCAGAGGTCAAGAACCAAAGGCCCTGTAGATGTTTTGGGCTTCGGAACTCTTCTGTCGTACCCCCACTAGCAGGAAGATTGTAGGAATTGTTGGAAACGTTTGAGAGGAAAGTTGCAAACTTTTGGGGTTTTTTAAAAATTATTTTATCTTTGGTAGAAATGTAATAAAGTATAAAAGGCGATACTTGAGAAGGATGAACCTGCTGCCCTTCCTCTGTAGCTTAGTCTGGTGCAGAGGTCTTCAAACGTGACAGCTTTAAGCTATGCTGGCTGGAGAATTCTGGGAGTTGAAGTCCACAAGTCTTTTTTTTTTTTGTAAAAAGTTTTTTTTTAATTTTTTTAAAACATAAACATAAAATACATCTTTTTAGAATGAAGCATTGATCCAGTCATAAATTGGTACAATCACAAATTCATCTTTAACAACGACTCATCTCCACTAATCATCATCTTATAAAAATAATAAAGAAATAAAACAGAGAGGAAAAAAAAAACCTTAACTCGCTCAAAACCCTGGTGGCGCAGCAGACTAAAGCACTGTTATTAACATCAGCTGCCTGCAATTACTGCAAGTTCAGATCTCACCAGGCTCAAGGTTGACTCAGCCTTCCATCCTTTCTAAGGTAGGTAAAATGAGGACCCAGATTGTGGGGGCAATAAGCTGACTTTGTATAAAAATATACAAAAGTATGAAGGCTATTGCTTAACATATTATAAGCCGCCCTGAGTCTCCGGCATATAAATCAAATCAAATCAAATAAAACAACAACAACAATTACCTTTCTATTATTTCACCTCAAATCTTAATTTCCAAATAACACATCTTAATGTTTTACACAATTGTTTCCCTAAATTCTTATCTATTTTATAATACCATTATCCATGAACCCGTTACTTAAATCTTTAAACCCTAACTCAATATCATTTCATTATCTTTTCTTTTTATTTAAATGAGCGTATCTTAAAAACAGAAATCATTACTATTATCATAAACAATATCTTAACTATCACTCACAGCAAATCCTCTTCGTTACTATTTATCTCAACATAATCATCCTAATTTACAAATAACCACAACATAATCATTTTTAATTATTTATCACAAGTCTTAAAAGCTGCCATGTTTGAAGACTTCTAGTCTAGTGGTTACTGGACTTAGTTGAAGATCCTTAAAGTGAGCTGCAAGGCATTGTTCATAATTTTTATTATGGAAGGTAACGCTGGAAAAAGGGCTTTCCTGGCTCAACCAGGGACTTAGCGATGTCTCTGGGAGCCTCAGGACGTGTCCTCCACTACCACAGTCAAAGCGAGACTGTGCGGTCCGGTTCGGACCATCCAGCAGCGGAGTTTCTCGGCCCCTAGAAACCCCATGCATCTCGCCGCGGCGCCAACTTCCAATAGTCCCCTCAGAGTCCATTCTTGACTGAGGAGTCCTTGGTGCTCCCTGAGCTTGGTTGGTTTTCTTGCAGACGTTTTGTTCCCCAACTACGTAACATCATCAGTGCTAGAAGGGACTGGGGTTTGCAGGGAGGAGGAGGAGGAAGACTGTGGGATCCTTGGTGCTCTCTGAGCTTGGTTGGTTTTCTTGCAAACGTTTCATTACCCAAATTAGGTAACATCATCAGGGCTAGTACATGACTAGCACGGATAACGTTATCTAGTTTGGGTAATTCTCTGTGGAAATTCTCAGTCATCCAGGACACGGTTGCCCCAAAGATGCTTTCTCAAAAGGCACCTGGACATCCTTTGTTTTTTCCTGGAAGACATTACTTCAGAACTGAGAAAGCTTCTTGGATGAGAAGCGAAACGTTTTCCAAGAAAAACAAAAAGTCCAGTTGCCTCTTGAAAAATGATAGTTTGGATAATAAAACGTCTGCGCGAAAACAACCGAAGCCCAGAGAGCACCAAGGACCCCTCATTACAATCCTGAGCTACAAATATTCTCCTTTGTTGTTTCTTGACTCCTTCAAAGTTGTGTAGTTTACTGAAAGAGAAGAAAAAAAAGTTATTTTTTTCCCCAGCCCGATGTCTGTAAAAGCAAACTCGCATAGAACATTTTTTTTTTTAAATGATCGTAGGCGGAAAATGATTCAAGGGACATTTCAGTTTAGGTTTCTATAATCATTTTTATCTGCTTTTGGAGGGTTTTTAAAAGAAATGGGATTTTAGTTGGATCAGCATCCCCTAAACTGAATCTCACCCTCTAAGCAGGGATGGATAACCTCTGGTCTGCCAGGTATTAAAATACAGCTACCCAATATGGCCAGGGGTAAAGATGCTGGGAACTCTAGGTCAGCAATAACATCGAGAAAATCATCTTCGGTCAGAATAACTGAGTTGGAAGGGATCTTGGAAGATCTTCTAGTCCAGGGGTATCAAACTCAAGGCCCGTGGGCCACTTAGATCTCGCCTGCGGGGCCGCCCTGGAAAGAGAGCAAAGGACCAGTCCCGTTTTCGGCCGTGGCCCTCCCAGCCCTCGTTTTCGGCCACGATGGCCTCCTGCAGCCCTCTGCCAGTGAAAATGGAGCTCGGGGTTGGGGGGGTCGTTCACGGCGTCCCATTTTCGCTGGCAGAGAGCTGCTGGAGGCCGTCGCAACCAAAAACGGGGTGCAGGCAGAGAGCTGTCAAAACAAACTAAAAAACAAAAGGAGAAATGTTTCCCCTTTTGCATTTGAGCATGCAAGAAGGGACAGGAAAGGAGAAAGGGAAAGAGGAAAGAGAAAGAAAAAGAAGGAAAGGAGAAGGGAGGAAGGAAGGGAAGGGAGGAAGGAAGGAGATTATAATGAGAATGAGGGAGGGTCTGAGGGAAGTCTGGCCTTAGCCACAGGTGCCCCCGACACAAATTATGTCAAGATGGCCACGCCTATCTTGGCCACACCCACTCTGCCCCCCCAGGTCAAACATAACCCTGATGCTCCCCTCAATGAAATCGAGTTTGACACCCCTGAGCTAGAGAGTATCTGGTAAAGGACTTTCTTCCTAGCAGATATCCAGGACCAGCCTAGGTGGCCAGGACGGTTCCGTAGCTTAAAATAACAGAACAACAGAGTTGGAAGGGATCTCGGAGGTCTTCTAGTCTAGCCCCCTGCCCAAGCAAGAGACCCTATACCATTTCGGACAAATGGGGTTGTTCAATCTCTTCTTAAAAACCTCCAGTGTTAGAGCATTCACACCACATGTGGAGGTTTGACCTTGGAGATTCCTTCCTTTGGAGATTTTTACGGCCATGAGGGCTGGAATCTTGGAGCGGGTATTTAAAAACGACACCCGGATGCCAAATTGAAGGCTGTACCCCCCCCCATAACGATGTCCTGTGATTGCCCTGCCTTTGCACAGAATTGTGCAGAGGCCCGTAACCAGTTGTGCAGTTTGATTCTTCTCGCTGTTCTCTTCGCCTCCAAACTCCAGGGGAGAACCGGTTGAAGAAGAAGCCGCCTCCGCTTGGGACACTGATGGACCGCCGGAAAGAAGATTTCTCCTTGTTCAAAGTTTCTGACAACGAGTACAAGGTGAAAATCTCCCCTCAGCTACTCCTAGCTACCCAGCGCTTCTTATCTAGAGGTAGGAAGAAACGATGTCTTGTTGTGGAACCACTGTTATTTTATTTTATTTTATTTTATTTTATTTTATTTTATTTTATTTTTATTTATTTTATTTTATTTTATTTTATTTTATTATTTTATTTTATTTTATTTTATTTTATTTTATTATTTTATTTTATTTATTTTATTTTATTTTATTTTATTTTATTTTATTTATTTCTTCTACCTTCATATTCATCCAAACCATTCTAACATTTCATTTCTAAATCAATATTATAATCATCATTTTTACACAATTATAGTATCTGCCATTTATATCTCTTTTCCAACCAACTATAAAAATAATTCCATGTTTTAAAATATTCTGATTCCTCCTTATCTTTAATCATCAAAGTTAATCTATTCATTTCTGCACAGTCTAAAATTTTTTTATTATTACTTCTTCTTCCAACGGTATTTTCTCTGATTTCCAATTTTGAGCATACACAATTCTATTCTATAAAGTTGCCCAGATGTGCAGATCCCTGCTTTTTTTTTAAAAAAAAACTCTCTTTCTTTTTTCAAAAATATGATGCAACCCTACCTCCCCTTTTGCCATCCCCCTCCCTTGTCCTCCAGAGGTGGATCTCTTCAGCCCAGGCCGAATCTCGGAGAAGGTCCTGTTGCATCTGCTGCAGCATCCCAGCGTCAACCAAGAAGTGAAGTTTGACGACTGCAATCGCTTGGCCCCAGAACATTACTTGTATCAGCGCAACCAACCGGTCAATTACTTTGTGCTCATCCTGCAGGTACGATATGTCTAGGGTCGCGCAGGGAGGACCTCGAGGGAGGGTGGAGGCCCTGGTTCAAGAACTAGATTGGGGGCTAAAGCAGCTGCCGAGAAACGAGGCCGTTGTGATCCAGGCCCAAGTAGGTAGTAATTGACACAAACAGTTCCAAAACAAACAGACTTTATTAGAACAGCTGAGAATTAACTCATTCTCAGCATAGTCCAAACTAAATCAAAACAAACTCCTCATAACACAAATTCTTCAGTCTAATCACCAACCTTGGTATAATTGGGCAAACTGCCAAAGGCTTCTTTTGGCAAAAGTTCAAAAGCAGAAGATGCCGACCAGAGATAATTGCAGCAAGACTATCAGCGTTGTTTTCCGACAAAGAGGCCAAGAACCGTTGCTGGTCTTTTAAGCCTTATGGGAGGGGCCAATCATCTCTTGGCACTACTCCCGAGTCGTCTTCTTTGCTGTAGCTGCTCCTGCCTTCTGGCAGCTCTTCTCATACGTGCACTAGGAACAGGCTCCTCCTGTTCTTCTGCCTCTCTGCTGTCAGCCTCTGGAGGCTCCAGAGTCCGCACATCACTCCCCGATGGCCCTGGCCCCATCTCTGTCTCCAACGCAGAGCCCTCATCCGGGCCTTCTCCAGCCTCCAGGACTGGCCCATGTTCTTCCTCAGCCTCATCGCTGTCTGACTCCTCTGCCAGCTCCTCAGGCTGCTGGCGGACCACAACACTAGCAAAAGTCTAGCAAACAATGCAAACAGGCAGACCGTGGCCTCCAGACCCAACCCAAAAGGAGCAGACTGTCACGTGAAGTGAGGAGTACTTCCAATAGAGAATCATTGGTCACAGATGGGCCAGTGGACCCTGAGGACTACATCAGGGGTGTCAAACTCAAGGCCCAATTGTGGTCATAAATCGAGGACTACCTGTACGCTGTAGGGCAGGGATCTGGTCACTTTTAAGACTTGTTGGACTTCAACTCCCAGAATTCCCCAGCCAGCCATACTGGAAGGCAGCATGGAGAGAATAAACGAGGGAGGAATGCACCACTGTATAAACGGGGAGGCATGGAACCGACCACTTTCAATCCTTCCACAAATCCTACGCAACTGGAAGACCTTCACTTAGCACTTAGTAGGTCCCCGTAGTTTCCAAGACTAATTTTGCTCGATCGTTAAAATAAAAGGGATGCCTTCTGTGGCATCGCTTCTCACCCGGAATTCAAAATGGTCCAGACCATTGTGCCATGTTGCTGGCATGCCCTTTCTGATGCATAAACAGAAGCCAGCACAGGACTCCCCCCCATCTCGTGAATCAAAAACCTGAAATGCTACTAGCCCTTGCTCTTCGGCCACTCCATTGAGGAGGTGGGGGGAAAAAAGCCACTGGCATTGTAATCTCTCTGGGCTGGGCTGAGTAGCAAGTCCTAATGCCAGCTGGGAATGGAAATGGAGAAGAGGTGAGATGCCAAGAGGAGGCTGGATTATTGAGGAGGAGAAGGACAGTCAGGTTGTGTTCCCTGCCCTCAGAGTGGGCTCTAGAGACTTAGTATCCAATCCATGGCAGAATCCATGTGTTGGATCTACGGTAGCATTGGTGTCCTCCATAAGAGGGTCTACAACAACTCGCCACAGCCAACTTCATCATCATCTTTTAACGACCCCTTAATCCCTTGCGGCGTGGAGTCTGGGCAACTGAGTGGAGCTAGCAGAGTGTTTTAATGGCCGGATGCCCTTCCCTGTCACCAATGAGGAGTTTTGTTCAGCAGATATATTCTCACTGTGCCCAGAGAGAGAAATATCCGCCTCTACCGAGGATCGAACTCACAGCCTCCTAACTGTGAGGCAAGAGCTCCACCTCTAGGCCACCGCCCCACTCCTCACCACAACGATCTCAATCCCAGCTACATTGATGGTTTATATATTGCCAACCCAACAAGTTAGGTAATAATCATTTCCTAACAGGGAATCTTGGAAATTCATATTATTCCTTCTACGCACACAACACACACAAAGAAAAAACACACACACACACACACTACTCTCAGGTCAGAGGCGCCTCTGCTCATTTTGCCTTTTGCTTCCTCCACCAGGGCAGGGTGGAAGTCGAGATTGGGAAGGAAGGACTGAAGTTTGAAAATGGCGCCTTCACCTATTACGGTGTCTCGGCACTTACCGCTCCTTCTTCAGGTGAGTCCTTTGCTCAGTCCTGAGGTGAGCAGCCCCCACCCACTCACCCTTGGACGTGGGGAGTCACCCCAGAGACCTTACTGCCATTTCAAAGATCGGTAAGGGGGACCCTCAAAAGGTGCATTTGGTTGGCCCTTTGAAGACAGAGGCTGTTCAACTCCGAAGAGAAGAGAAGAGAAGAGAAGAGAAGAGAAGAGAAGAGAAGAGAAGAGAAGAGGAAGTAGGATGGAAGATAGGAATAGAATAGAGTAGAGTAGAGTAGAGTAGAGTAGAGTAGAGTAGAGTAGAGTAGAATAAGAAGTAGGATGGAGGATAGGAATAGAATAGAATAGAATAGAATAAAATAACAGAGTCGGAAGGGACCTTGGAGGTCTTCTAGTCCAACCCCCTGCTTAGGCAGGAAACCCTACACCACTTCAGACAAATGGATGTCCAATCTCTTCTTAAAAACTTCCAGTGTTGGAGCATTCACAACTTCTCGTGGCAAGCTGTTCCACTGATTAATTGTTCTAACGGTCAGGAAATTTCTCCTTAGTTCTAAGTTGCTTCTCTCCTTGATTAGTTTCCACCCATTGCTTCTTGTCCTGCCCTCAGGTGCTTTGGAGAATAGCTTGACTCCCTCTTCTTTGGGGCAGCCCCTGAGATATTGGAAGACTGCTATCATGTCTCCCCTATTCCTTCTTTTCATTAAACTAGACATTGCCAGTTCCTGCAACCGTTCTTCCTATGTTTTATCTTCCAGTCCCCTAATTGTTGCTCTTCTCTGCACTCTTTCTAGAGTCTCAACATCTTTTTTTACATCATGGCGACCAAAACTGGATGCAATATTCCAAGTGTGGCCTTACCAAGGCCTTATAATGTGGTATTAACACTTCACGTGATCTTGATTCTATCCCTCTGTATATGCAGCCTAGAACTGTGTTGGCTTTTTTGGCAGCTGCTGCACACGGCTGGCTCATAGTTCAATGGTTGTCCACTAGGACTCCCAAGATCCCTCTCACAGTTGCTACTGTGAGTTAGGTTGGTTTGCCGGTGTGAACGTGTTGCCGCAGTGTTGCTTTTTTTCATTTTCTGCAGTCCATCAGTCCCCGGTGTCGACTCTAAGGATGAATCGTCGTGAACAGTCGGTTGACTGCACAGAGCCCACCAATTATTCCGCGTATTGCCCTGACTACACCGTTCGAGCCCTCACCGATCTGCAGTTCATCAAGGTGAGCTCCTCCTGTGATTTGCCAGAGAGGAGGGGAGTGGGGAGTAGAGGTGGGTTTCAGCAGGTTCTGACCAGTTCTGGAGAACCGGTAGCGGAAATTTTGACTAGTACAGAGAACTGGCAAATACCACCAATGACTGGCCCCGCCCCCATCTATTCTCTGCCTCCCAAGTCCCAGCTGATCGGGAGGAAATGGGGATTTTGCAGTAACCTTCCCTTCCCTTTTACCTTCCCTTTTCTTCCTTTCCTTTCTCTTCTCTTCCCTTCCCTTTCTTTCTCTTCTACCTTTCCTTTCCTTTTTCCCTTCCCTTTCCTTCCCTTCTTCCTTTCCTTTCCTTCCCCTTCCCTTCCCCTCTTCCTTTCCTTTCCTCCCCTCCCCTCCCTCTCCTCCCTCCCTTCCCTTCCTTCCCTTCTTCCTTCCTTTCCTTTCCTTCCCCTTTCCTTCCCCTCTTCCTTTCCTTTCCTCTCCTCTCCTCTCCTCCCTCCCTTCCCTTCCCTTCTTTCTTCCTTTCCTTTCCTTCCCCTTTCCTTCCCCTCTTCCTTTCCTTTCCTCTCCTCTCCTCTCCTCTCCTCTCCTCTCCTCCTTTCCCTTCCCTTCCCTTCCACCTTCCCTTCCCTTCCCTTTCCTATTGAAGACTTCATTCTTTTTGCATTTGCCTCTGGATTTCTTCAGGGGGAGGAGCGATAGTGGCGATTATTCTTAACATGATTTCCTTGATCTTCTGCCACGCGACGGCTTCTTTGCAGGTCACCCGTCTGCAGTATCTCAACGCTCTCATGGCCTCGAGGATACAGAACTCGCCCCAATCCCCCGAGGCTGTGGATCTGAAAATCATCCCCAGCAGCCAGACCAAGCTCCTGAACGACAAAAATGCGGCAACAGGTAAGAGGCCCTTTTCATGTCTGGGGCGAGTGGTTGGGACCGTCCCCTGATTCCCTCCCCCCCCCAAAAAATCGTTCTTGGCAGCCTCTCGAGCTCACTTCAGAAGCCTTTGCCCCCCAAGAGCTCACAGTCTCCTTCGGCCTAGAACAGGGGTCTCCAATCATGGCCACTTCAAGACTTATGGACTTCAACTCCCAGAGTTCCTCAGTCAGGAGTTCCCTGAGGAACTCTGGGAGTTGAAGTCCACAAGTCTTAAAGTTGCCAAGGTTGGAGACCCCTGTTATAGACAGAAGCCCAAATTAAGAAACTGTAGAGTCCAAAGCTGGATGGGGGAAAGGAGGAAAAGGTTCAGGAAGCGGTTCAAAGCTGGATGGGGGGGAAAGGTTGTGGGAGTTGAAGTCCACAAGTCTTAAAGTTGCCAAGGTTGGTGACTTTGCTGGCTGAGGAATTCTGGGAGTTGAAGTCCACAAGTCTTTGCTGGCTGAGGAATTCTGGGAGTTGAAGTCCATAAGTCTTTGCTGGCTGAGGAATTTGGGAGTTGAAGTCCACAAGTCTTTGCTGGCTGAGGAATTCTGGGAGTTGAAGTCCACAAGTCTTTGCTGGCTGAGGAATTCTGGGAGTTGAAGTCCACAAGTCTTAAAGTTGCCAAAGTTGGCGATTTTGCTGGCTGAGGAATTTGGGAGTTGAAGTCCACAAGTCTTTGCTAGCTGAGGAATTCTGGGAGTTGAAGTCCACAAGTCTTTGCTGGCTGAGGAATTCTGGGAGTTGAAGTCCACAAGTCTTAAAGTTGCCAAAGTTGGCGATTTTGCTGGCTGAGGAATTCTGGGAGTTGAAGTCCACAAGTCTTTGCTAGCTGAGGAATTCTGGGAGTTGAAGTCCACAAGTCTTTGCTGGCTGAGGAATTCTGGGAGTTGAAGTCCACAAGTCTTAAAGTTGCCAAAGTTGGCGATTTTGCTGGCTGAGGAATTCTGGGAGTTGAAGTCCACAAGTCTTTGCTAGCTGAGGAATTCTGGGAGTTGAAGTCCACAAGTCTTTGCTGGCTGAGGAATTCTGGGAGTTGAAGTCCACAAGTCTTTGCTGGCTGAGGAATTCTGGGAGTTGAAGTCCACAAGTCTTAAAGTTGCCAAGGTTGGCAGCTTTGCTGGCTGAGGAATTCTGGGAGTTGAAGTCCACAAGTCTTAAAGTTGCCAGATTGAGGACCCTGGCCTAGAAGATGGCACTGAGAAAGGGGAAATAAAAAGGCCTTGGGGTGGCACCTTTAACCATAGTATATTGAGGGAAGGGGCTGCCTGCATCGCTTTGCAGAAGAAAGGCATCTAGGAGGGAAAAAGAGAAAAGCTGGCATCCTTTTTTAGACAAGAGCTTTGGGGAGTTAAAGAGCTTAGGGAGAAGGCCATGGGGCAGGAGGAAAGGATTGGTAGGTCACATCCAGGCACTTACAGTAGTGGCCAAAATTGTGGGAACCTTTTGGGGAAAGTGTATTTTCTAAAACTAGCTAATAACACCACTGTTTTTTGGAGTACTACCATAAAACTATATATATCAATGGAAAGATAATTTAATCAAGAACGTAATGCAATAACTTTTGTGAAGGATTTGCTATTAGAGTAGCACTTACAGTATAAAGAAGAAAAGTGGAACGTAGAAAAACGAGATATACAGAAATGATCACCACGTCAGTGAATACTTAGCTGGGTAACCTTTAGCATGAATGACGGCTTACGACATCTTCCCATGGAGTGAACCAAGTCCTTTAATTCTGCAGCTGTTCTAATGTGAAACCAAGATTGAATGATGGCTTCTATTAACTGGGTTTTATTGCTGGGTCGCTTCTGACTAACCAGTTTCTTTAGTCGGCTCCATAGATATTCCATTGGGTGAAGGTCTGGGCTATTCCCAGGCCATTCCAGCAGTGGAATAGGATTATCTTGAAACTCCAAAAAAAAAAAAAAAGTGGTGTTATTAGCCATCAAACCTCAAAAATACACTTTCCCCAAAAGGTTTCCACAATTTTGGCCACTACTATAGAGGGCGCCCCTCCTGAAGGGACTGTCCCTTGAGAGCTCTTGAGCCTGCAAAAGCTGTTCTCCGTATGTCTCGCTTGTTCTCTTTCTGTGCGTCTGCTTCCAGGAGCTAAAGGCTCTTTTCTCCCGTTTCTGTTTCTTCTTTCTTCCAGCCTTTCCACTAAATCTCTCTTTCTTTGGCACAATCGAAAACCGCATTTAACACAGGCCTCTCTGCCATAGCCTGGAGTCCCTTTCTTTTTTTTTTTAAATCGCAAGGTAAATATCTTCAAATTTCTTCTTCGTTTGTGTTCTCTCTCTCTCTCTCTTTTCCTCTCTCTTCTTCTCTTCTCCCTCTCTCTCTCTTTTCCTCTCTCTCTCTCTCCCTCTCGCTCTTAAAAAGTAAAAAAAAAAAAAGTTCCGAGGATCACGCGTCACAGCTGATTGTCACAGCTGATTGTTGGAACCTTTTTAAAACTTTTTTAAAGCATTTTTTTTTACCACTTATTGCCCGAATGGATAGTAAAAAAATACTATAAAAAAGTTTTTTAAAAAGTTCAGACGGTCAGCTGTGCTGCGATCGTGGGAAGGTTTTTTTGTTTTTTTTTTTACTTTTTAAAGCATTTTTTTTTTACTACCGGTTCGGGCGAACCGCCCCGAACCGGTAGCATTTCACCCCTCGTCTAGACTTATGGAGTTTAGCATGAGTTGGAAAAAATGTGCAAAGAATGGTGTTTCCCAACAGAGATCCCTGCCCATAAGCAGTCCCTAAACATGTAAGCTTTGCAGAATAGATCAAATTTCCATTAATGTAAGGAAGAGGCAGTTCTTATTTGACTATCAATTTCAGGGTCCCACAACATACCTGTCAAGTAGGCCATCTATATTCATTTCCCCTTGAAGGTGGAAGGCTGATATTTTTGTTTAAAAAGTCTTCTGTCTTAAGAAATTGGATGCAGCTAAGATTTCAGACAAGGTTTTCAGGAATTATTTTGCAGCTTGCAACGTCCGGCTATCCCTGGAGAGAAAATTTCCCCTTCCTTGTTTCCCCCCAAAATAAGACATCCCCTGATAATAAACCCGATCGGGCTTTTGAGCGCATGCGCTAAAATAAGCCTCCCCCTGAAAATAAGCCCTCCCCGAAAATATTTAAACGCAGAGCTGGAAATCAGGTAAGACGCAAGAGGAGCCCCATCTTGCGCCCCAAAATAATAAGATCTCCCCGAAAATAAGGCCAAGCGTTTATTTCGGGGTTCAAAAAAAATATAAGACAGGGTCTTATTTTCGGGGAAACACGGTAGATTATTATCCTATCCTGTTTCTCTGTCCTGCCACTGCCAGGGGTTGTGCCCATTACATTTCATGGCTACTCCTTTCCTCCACGTTCCAGGGAAAAGCCGAAGCAAGTTCAATCTCCAGGAAGAGACCAGCCAGAGCACGGGGGTTTGACTTCAAACACGTGGCGTTAGGGCTGCAGGGCGGGGCGAGCCCAGGAGGACCCCTCCCTTAAAACCTTCAGCACTTCTCCTGGCTACCGCCCTGGTTTTAGACGGACTTCTGCGTTGGGCACCTGCGTTTCCAAAAGACAGTAGGAGCCCGGCCTTCTCGGGGGAGAGAGGGGGCCTGGCTGGATCCAACGCCAGCGGCTTCTGTCGCCCCGACTGGGCTACTACGCCTAAGACATTTATAAGCAGTGCTTGACTGCGGAGGGTTGGTGGACCTGGGCGAAATGTGTTCGTGGCGGAGAGCGGCGGCCAGCAAATACAGACTCGACTCTTTTTGACATTTGTGGTGCCAACGGGGAGGCGGCTGCCAGGCCCTTCCTACTCATTGCCTTCTAACCGTGTCACCCGGCCTCTCTCTTGTGTTTCCACTTCCCCGTTGTGCTAATCTCGCCAGGGCCCCAGATATACGCACCTCCCTTAAAAGCACTTGCCGGACTCTGCCGGATTTTTGCGGCAACGGCCTCGGTGTTCATTTGTGCCAGCTGTCCTTGCCCGCTTGGATCTCGGCTCTGGGACCGACCCTACGAGCCTGCCATCTTGCCGGGGTTCTGATAGCCTGGCCTGCCTTGCTGATCTGGGTTGCAAGCCATGACTCTTGTGAGTCCCCCAAGCTCGCCCGAGTGCCTGTACCAGGCCTAGCAGCCCCCGCCCACAGTCCCGGTCCTTTACTTACCCCTGCCGAAACAGTGCCAAAGAAGCTCTGGGAATCCTGCACCTCTCTTCTGCCTGCTGGCATCAGGCTTGCCAGTTTCCTGTTTGCCCTGGATCAGCTGTCCTCGACCAGACGGGATTTCTGCCAAGGGACTCATGCTACAGAGGAGGGGCAGGCGGCTACTTGCCCCCCCTCCCACTCTCCAACCTGTTCTCCCTTCCATGGTGTCTGTCCTTGAAAAGTCGAACGTCAGAATGCTGAGTCCTCCCCACTTTTTCTGGGGCTGCCCCTTTTGCCCTCTTGGGAAGGGCACCGCGTCTCTGGCTTTCCCTGGATTATCTTCGGTCTTGGATTTCCATTTCCAAGCTCTCGCTGGCGATCCCACGTTTCCCTTGGGCGAGAGAAACCCTCCACTCCGGCTTTGGCAGAGAGACATTTACCACCTCGTTGCTCTACACAGTATTTCCCCTCTGGGACGCGCCCGTCCCTAAATCTTATTTTTTAAAAGTCAATAAAAGAATTCTGAGGGATTCAGGAAGAAGAGAATCCCGTTCCCTTTCTCTCCCTCGTTCAGCCTTTCCCTTTCTCACAGTCAACAGCTGAATCGTTGCGTGTCCGGTTTGGGTTAAATCGTTTGTAACCTGCCCACCAGCTGTTATTTTCCCAGGGAATTGTCTCTCCTTACACATCTGTATGTCACAGAAGTGAGTACATCCTCTTACATTTTGTAAATATTTAAGTATATCTTTTCATGTGACCACACTAAAGAAATGGCACTTGGCTACAATGTAAAGTAGTGATTGTACAGCTTGTGTAACAGTGTAAACGCGCTGTCCCCTCAAAATAACGCAACGCACAGCCATTCATGTCTAAACTGCTGGCAACAAAAAGGAGTACACCCCTAAGTGATAATGTCCAAATGGGGCCCAAGTAGCCATTTTCCCTCCGTTGTGTCATGTGACGCGTTAGTGTTACAAGGTCTCAGGTGTGAACGGGGAGCAGGTGCCTTAAATTTGGTGTTAATGCTCTCACTCTCTCACTGGAAGTTCAACATGGCACCTCATGGCAATAAACTCTCTGAGGATCTGAAAGAATAAATTGTTGCTCTACATCTGTGATGGCGAACCATGGCACGCGTGCCACAGGTGGCATACGGAGCCATATCGGTGGGCACACGAGCATTGCCTTAGCTCAGCTTCAGCACGCATGTACGTGCCAGCCAGCTGATTTTCGGGCCTTCCAGGCCCACCAGAAGTCGAGAAACGGGCCGTTTCCGATCTCCGGGGTGGGGAGGCCTTTTTCGCTCTCCCCAGGCTCCAAGAAAGTCTTTGGAGCCTGGGGAGAGTGAAAAACAGGCCTTCTGGTTCCACTGGAAGTCGGGAAACAAGTCGTTTCCAGCATCCAGAGGGCCTCTGAGGGGGTGGGAAAGGCCATTTTCGCCCTCCCTAGGCTCCAAGAAAGCATCTGGGGCCTGGGGAGGGCAAAAAATGGGCCCACCGGTAACCTTTTTGCTGTTGCGTGACAAAAGCGGGGATTGTGCATGCATGCGTGGGGGTGGGGGCACGGGGGGCATTGAATTATGGCTGTGGGCACGTGCGGACGTGATCCCCCCACACTCCCCCTACTTTTGGCATGCAATGGCAAAAAGATTAGCCATCACTGCTCTACATAAAGATTGCCTAGGCTATAAGAAGATTGCCAAAACCCTGAAACTCAGGACTTCTTATGCACAGTCACCCATGCCCTCGTCATGTCTCGCCTGGACTACTGCAACACTCTACATGGGGCTCCCCTTGAGGAGCACCCGGAGGCTCCAACTGATCCAGAATGCGGCTGCGCGGCTGATTATGGGAGCGACGTGGCGCTCCCATGTAACACCTCTCCTGCGCGAGCTGCACTGGCTCCCGGTGTTGGTTCTCATCTTTAAAGCGCTCCATGGCTTAGGGCCAGGATACTTACGAGACCGCCTGCTGCTACCGATAACCTCCCACCGGCCAATACGCTCTCACAGAGAGGGCCTCCTCAGGGTGCCGTCAGTCAAGCAATGTCGGCTGGCGGCCCCCAGGGGGAGAGCCTTCTCTGTGGGGGCACCCACCCTGTGGAATGAGCTACCTCCTGGAATATGACTGATCCCGGACCTCACCTTCCGTAAGGCCCTGAAGACTTATTTATTCCAGCAAGCCGGCCTAGCCTAAAGGGTTTTTAATGGGATTTTTTAAATTTTATAGACTTGGGGTTTTAAAATGGGAGGCCAATTGATTTAATCTTTTTTAATTATCTTAACTTTTGTATTGTATGTATTTTAATTTTGGCTGTTCACCGCCCTGAGTCCCCTTGGGAGAAGGGCGGTATATAAATTAAATTAATAATAAATAAAAAAAAATAAACTGAGGTGCAGCACAGTGGCCAAGGCGATACAAGCGGTTGGATTGGGACATTATCACTTAGGGGTGTACTCCCTTTTGTTGCCAGCAGTTTAGACATGAATGGCTGTGAGTTGCGTTATTTTGAGGGGACAGCACATTTACACTGTTATGCAAGCTGTACAATCACTACTTTACATTGTAGCCAAGTGCCATTTCTTCAGTGTTGTCACACGAAAAGATATACTTAAATATTTATAAAATGGGAGGGGGGTTGCTCACTTCTGTGACATACTGTAAGTCACTGATGATGGCAGAAGAAACCTGCATCTCTCCTAATTGAGGTGAGTATCGTCATGATTCAGGGGCAGAGATGCGGTTAAGCCCCCTCCCCTTCTTCCTTAGGAAGCATATCATGCTGAAGAGATACACCGGCTATTCCCCCCCCCCCCCCCCCAGCCACAAGAACGCCTAGGGATGAAGGCCTGATTTGGGGGGTAGGGGCAGGGGTGAAATCCAGCAGGTTCTGACCAGTTCAGGAGAACCCAATTTGGGTTTGGCTAGTCTAAGGAAAAGAAGAATTAGGGGTGACATGCAGAGGTGGGATTCAGCAGGTTCTGACGAACCGGTAGCGGAAATTTTGAATAGTTCAGAGAACCGGTAGTAAAACTTCTGACTGGCCCCGCCCCCATCTATTCTCTGCCTCCTGAGTCCCAGCTGATCGGGAGGGAATGGGGATTTTGCAGTAACTTTTCCCTGGAGTGGGGAGGGAATGGGGATTTTGCAGTATCCTTCCCCTGGAATGGGGAGGGAATGGGGATTTTACAGTATCCTTCTGCCACGCCCACCAAGTCACACCCACAGAACTAGGTGGGGTGGGGTGGAAGGAGCATATAGGATAGAATAGCATCCTATCCTATATGCTTTTTAACCAGTCTGCCATTGTGAGACCCAAACTGTGTGCAGGATTAGACAGAGTTAATCTCTTAAAGCAGCAATTTGGCTGAGATGGGGAGGAGGAGGAGGAAGAGGAGGTTCCATGGGAAAGTTCTGGCTCACTCAAGCCGTCACACGTGTGCGGTGGCTCTTACACACCAAAGGGAACAGGTCACGCATTCCTTATCCTTTGAGGTCACTGCTGGGCAGATGTGAATGTCTCCCTTTCCCCATATCTGTTATCTCTTGGTCTGCAGTCACAGGCAGGGAAAGGTTTACCTAGGGCAGTGATGGCTAACCTTTTTGCTATCGCGTGCCAGGAAGGGGGGGTCGCGCATGTGTGTGTCCACACCCATAATTCTATGTGCCCCGCCCCCACGCATGCATGAGTGACCCCCCTCCCCCTGCTCCTGACTTGCGATGGCCCAGTAGGCCCATTTTTCTTTCTCACCTGGCTCCAGGATCTCTCTAGGAGTCTGGGGAGGGCAAAAACGGCCTTCCCAACACCCCCTGGAGGTCCTCCGGAGGCTGAAAATGAGCCATTTGACAACTTCCGGTCCCACCGGAGCTGAGGTTGCGTGCCCACTGATATGGTTACGCGTGCCACCTGTGGCACGCGTGCTATAGGTTCGCCATCATGGAGCTAGGGCATTGGCACCAAAAGTGATATGCCGGTTCGGACCGGTTCACCCGAACTGCTTGCGGAAATTGCAGGTGGGCCCGTCCATCCACCCCGGTGCTGTGCCATCCTATTTCTGCACATTTTGATGCCGCGCACGCTAGCAATGCACATGCATGGAACACTGCGTGGAGGCGGTGCGTGCACATTCACATTCGCAAACCGGTAGGGAAGGTAAGTGAATAGCACCTCTGATTGGCACAACACGATAAACTAGGTTAACCTTCACCTTAGTTTTGCAGTTGAGCACGTAGGGTGAACTCGGCTTGTTTGGTTGGTTTTTCAGATTGGCACACTGGGGGAAATTCAGAAAATGGTTCCAGTAACCAGGTGAAGTGAGTCAATCCTTATTCTGCCTCCCTAGAGAAGTCAATTCTTCCCTTTTCCTTGGTGGCATCACAACAACTAGCATCTCCTTCCTACTTCTGCTGTCCGTCCTACTTCCAGGAAATGTTATCTGAGATTATTTCAAGAAGACAACCATGGGGAGTGCTGGCCACAGAGTGCCTGGGGAGAAATAGCAGCCGCCCCCTCCCCAGGTAGAAAGCTAGCACAGCAAAGACTGGGCTGGGCTGGAACCTCCTTCACTGATACACTAGCATTTAGTTGCTAGGAATTGTGGACCGGAGGACCCAGGAAATCTACGCCCAGGGTGGTGACTTTGGGGGAAGGGGGTTTCCTCCAATGGAAGTTGGGCAAGGGATTCTCTGCCCGGTTGCTGGGTGGGTGTGGCTATGGTGGGTGTGGCCTATTTGGCCTCATGCACCATGGGGAGGCGTTTTTGCCCTCCCCAGGCTCCAGAGGCTTTTCTTGAGCCTCCGGGAGGGCGAAATCCCCCTTTCTGAACTTCTGGTAGGCCTGTTTTTCGCCCTTCCAGAGACTCCGTGCGCGCCCTGCACATAATATGGGGACTCTGGGGAGGGGAGGGGAGGGGAGGGCCAGCCAGGAGTGAGATTTGGGGGTTCTCCAAACTGCACAGAATCTTAGCTAGACGTTCTCCTGAATCCCTGCGAACCCCCAGCAGCCCACTCCTGAAATTGGGGCCTTAGGAGTCTGTCCAATGGGTGTAAGTAAAAAGATTTTCCTCCTGTTCCAGCCATGAAAGGACAAGCGATTTCAAGGCCACCCTTTTCGTCACAGCTGCAATTGCACTCAACTCTCCATCTTTCAGGACGCAAAAAAATAGCTTTTTATTATTTACAAAAGAAAAATCACATCACAGCAGTACTGCCCTCAGAGAATTTCGAGGGAAGGAAATCTTAGCACTGTACAATCAGTTTCCTAAGTGGAGTATCTTTCTGGAAACCCCGCCAGTTTTGCCCACGCGCCCCTCCGTTCGCGGTCAGAGGTGTGGAAGTGGGCATGGATGGAGGGGGCCAGTCCTGAGATGATACCGAAGACCTCGGCCCACGGCTAAGCAATCTCAAAGCCAGTCTTAACGCCAGACTGGCGAATTGCCTGTGCGCAGTGGCCTGGTATGACTTAGACCAGAAGTCTCCAACCTTGGCAACTTTTAAGACTTGTGGACGGAGCCTCTAATCAAGTTTCAAGAAAAATCCAACTTTGCAAGTTGACAAAGTCCATTGGTAAAATTGCCAAGGTTGGAAACCCCCTGACTTAGACCAGGGATAGGGAAGTATGGTCCTTTTTATGACCTGGGGACTTCAACTCCCAGAATTCCTGGCTTTGTCTCAGGAATCCTGGGAGTTGAAGTGCACCGGTCATCCAGGGACTAATTCCTCACCCCACAACTTAAACCAAAAGGACTACAGTATTGTTTGCGACAGCTTTGGGGGGGGTCCCAAATTGACGCAAAAAAAAGTGAAGTTGGTGTCGGTTTACAAAGAAAAATTCAAGTAATCGTCCCGGCCGCCCTTCCTTTGGAAAAGGGAGAAGGGCAGGGCGGGAATAAAATAAATAAATAAATAAATAGTCACCAGAGCTGGTACGGTACAAATCCCGTTCCAGATTGAGAGAGAGAGCAAGGCTGGCCTTTCTGGATGCCCATCCCAGCTCTGGGGCACATGTTCATTGAAGGCAGACCTTGGAGTCATGAATAGGTAAAGAGGTCAGTAGGGAGAACCCAGTCTCCCCAAGCAAAGGAATTACTATTAGCGGGAGGGGGTGCCTGATTGGCATGTGTGTCCCCCCCACTTCCGGAATAGTTCGTCATGGAGCTTGCAAAAAGGATGGCCAGCGGCTGTCCGCCATACTTGGCCCCTTCGTTCATTGGAGGAATTGTGCTGTTAGCAGGAGGGCCAGGTACTGGTGGAGGAGAACCTGGTGTCCAGCGGCACCAACGTGGTCCTCCTCTTGTCTAATGTACCAAGAGAACGAGGGCAAGGACAACCTGGGACCTGGGATCGACAGTAGCTAGAAATGGTGACAAGGGAGCAGCTCCTTTTGGGTCTACGACAACTCGACACAGGCAACTTGTCACGGCCGACTCGACACAGGACAAGAGTTAGCACCAATATGGAAGCTATAGTACAGGGGTGTCAAACTCTTATTTCATTGAGGGCTGCATCACGGTTGTGGTTGATCTTGGGGGGGGGTTGGGCAGGTGGGCATTCATTGGCTGGGGTGGTCGCAGCCAACTGGGTGGTCGTGACCAGTTTGACGTTGTTTGAGTCAGGGGCGCCTGTGGTAGCTGGATGGGGCTGAGGGGATCCATTGTAATGAGCTCAAGAGGATTTCAATCTGGCCCCTCTCCAGTGGCCGGAGGGTCTCTCCACCTCTGGAAGAACATTACCCAGCCCTCAACCCTAGCATCGGGGAGGACTGTGACGAGATGCCCCTTCCAGGGGAGCTGCAGCTCAGAGACCACCAGCGTATCTGGTTTGAAGTAAGGCCAGATCATCATCTTTTAACAACCCCATAATCCCTTGCGTGGTGGAGTCCGGGCAACTGAATGGAGCTAGCAGAGTGCTTTAATGGCCAGATGCCCTTCCTGTCACCAGTGCGGAGTTTTGTTCAGCAGATACATTCTCAAGCAAGAGCTCCACCTCTGCTTTCCTTAAAATTCGAGCTTGCTGCTCCGAAGATCCAGGGAGCAGCTGGGCCAGCGGGACTGTCCCTTGGAGCAGAGAGGCAGCTGCAAGGCTCAACTCTCTGCCATTGACAGTCCCCTAAAAACCTACATCCCGAACTGGTAGCTCCTTGGATCGCGCCTGTTTTTGGCCATCTGGAGTTGGCCAGGGGAGCCTCTCATCATCTCTCTGGCCTTCAGCCCCCCTGACTCCTGGGATGCTTACGCCCCCTGGGTTTTTGAGGCTGGAAGGCAGAGCTTTCTTCTTGGAGACTCGCCTTGGTCAAAGCCCCACCAGGCTGCCCTCTGTGGGTAGCCAGGACGAATGCAAGCACGCAAGGGGCCCGTCACCTGCTAACATGCACAAAATGTCTCCCTCTCGAGAGACGGAGCTGCAGGAAGTCCTTGGAGCCCAGCCAGCTGCCCTGTATCAGCTGAGGATGCAAGAAAACCCCCGGATTTCTATTGCCGTTGAAGAGGGTCGAAGAGAAAAGGCAAATCTGTCCAGTTTGGTGCAAAACAGGGACAAGGATGGTAAATTGGTCGCGGGGTGGTGGAGAAAAAAAAAGGGGGGGGGCTGCCGGCTTGTAGAGTCAACACCCCATTATTCAAGGTGTGCCCCCCCCACACACACACCCGTTCAGCAGCTCCTGGTTAGGCCTTGCTGCCGGTTGGCACACATTTGAAGCGTTTCCCGGATGCCCGTCTGCCAGTCCTTCACCAGGTCTACTGGGGTGACTGCCTCCTGCCAAGACAAGAAGAACGGCTCATAATTGGAAGCAAAGTCGACGCCCCCCACTCACATACCCGCCCCCCCAAAAAACCCCATTGGCCACAGAAGCCATGAAGCTCATTCTCTCTGGTCCGCGGAGATTCAGATTAACAGAGTGGCAAGGGGCCTCGTAGGTCATCTAGTCCAATCCCTCCGCCCAAACAGGAGACACTACACCAGTGATGGTGAACCGTTTCGGCACCGAGTGCCCAAACGGGAACATGCAGGTGTATGTGCGTGCTGGAGCGCCGGAAACCCAAAGAGCAGCTGGCGGTGCACATGTGCACGCCGGCCCCCTGGTTTTTGGGTTTCCAGCACGCGCATGTGCTCTGGCCAGCTGATCTTCATGCACACCGGAACGCCGGAAACCGGTGGTCGGCGCGCGCATTCGCCCTGTCCAGTTTGTCTTTAGGTTTCCAGCGCTCCAGGGCATGCGTGCCGGAAGCCACTAAACCAGCAGTCAACAATCTGCAGCTCTGGAGCCGCATGTGGCTCTTTCATCCCTCTGCTGTGGCTCCCTGTTGCTGGTCGGTTCCATAATTGATAGGGCTTTCAGTTAGGACAGGTAGAGGAAAAAGGACGCCGTGCTAGGAGGAGACTCTATGGTGGGGAGAACCAGACTTCCGGTCGGCTTCAGAATTGAACGGGGGGCTTCCGGTTAGGACCTTTGTGGCTCTAAGTGTTTAAGGTTGCCAACCCCTGCATTAAACTGAAGGGTAGCTCCAGAACGTTTTCACTTACTGTGCACCAAAACACTTTCCCCCGCCCCCAATAAAATCTACCTTCCAACCCACCCCATGCCTGCTGTTATTCCCCAAAACTACAAGATCATTTTTTTGCTTTTGCTTTTGCTTTTTTTACTCTGGTGCAGTAACTTTTCGTTAAAAAGAAACATGGATGTACATTTAATCCTGACTTCTTCAGCTATCTGTGACCGTTCCAGCCACTGCAAGAGACCCCTTGGTGGGGGGGGGGGTGTAGGGGAGATTGTCCTACATTCTGTCCCGTGATGAGAGGAAACGGTTAAGGAGTTAAATTGGGGGTGTCCAACCTTCGGCAATTTTAAGACCCATGGACTTCAACTTCCCTAATTCCCCAGCCAGTTTTTTTTTTGTTTTTTTTTTTGCTTTTGCTCACCTCATTCTGGATGTTAAGATTTGCCCCGTACATCAGCAGAGTCTTGACCGCCTGGAATCGTCCTAATCTGACCGCATCGTGAATGGGTGTATCTCCTTCCTGGTCAAGGAAAAAGAGAGTGAGTGCGTTCACACAACGCGCTTCACTTGGTTATGAATTCTTTTTTTTTTTTTTTCTGGCCTTGCACGGTGCTTTGGACTAAACCGAACAGACTCGAGTTTGGGTTTGCATTTCAGGGTTAAGCTACTAAAAAAAAACAGTCTCAAGTAACCAAGTTTAACGCGTAGTCCAAATGCATCTCTTGCTGGAGTGTCCAACCTTGGCAAACGTTTAAGATTTGTGGACTTCAACTCCCAGAATTCCCCTCCCTCCCTCTCAGTGATTAGAATACAGTATTGAAGGCTAACTCTGCCCGTAGCCAAGAGTTTGAATCACAGCAGGCTCAAGGTTGACTCAGCCTTCCATCCTTCCAAGGTGGGTAAAATGAGGACCCAGATTGTTGGGGGCCATAGGCTGACTCTGTAAACCGCTTAGAGAGGGGCTGGAAAGCACCGTGAAGCGGTATATAAGTCTAAGGTCTATTGCTTTGTGTCAATCTGTTCACTAACTGACAAGAGTGCTCCTAAGTCCCAATGGAGATTTGGAGAATCTGCAAATCTGCAAATTGAGATTTGCAGGATGCAGACAAGCTCTTTGGCCCTGAGCCACAGTCGTTACCCAATGGCTTAGTTGAACGTTGTTTCTGAGCTTGGAGCCAAAGAAATGAGCAACAGCCATTGATATCCTGCAAAGGTGCATCATCGTTGCTCTTTATGAACAGAGTTTACCATTGGGTGAATTTTAAAGGTACATAGAAATGGCTATCAAAGCTGGATTCATATTGCACCTTTGACAAACAGCGTGGGGTATTGGCGATTCAGCAAGGTGTCCAGTCCTTGTCTTCACATGCGTGAACCTGGCCAAATTGCTTCCTTATTATCAATGTTTCCCCCACAAAAAAGATAATTAGGGGAATGGCACTATACAGTAGTGGCCAAAACTGTGGAAACCTTTTGGGAAAAGTGTATTTTATAAAACTAGCTAATAACATCACTTTTTTGGGGGGAGTAGTAGCATAAAATTATATCTCAGTGGAAAGATAATTTAATCAAGAATGTAATGCAGTAATTTTTATGAAGGATTTGCTATTAGAATAGCAATTATAAAGAAGAAAAGCGAAACCAGATATACAAAAATTATCACCCTAGAAAAAATGAGATATACAAAAATGATCACCATAGAAAAAATGAGATATACAAAAATGATCACCATAGAAAAAATGAGATATACAAAAATGATCACCATAGAAAAAATGAGATATATAAAAATGATCACCATAGAAAAAATGAGATATATAAAAATGATCACCCTGTCAGTTAATATTTAATTGGGTAACCTTTAGCATGAATTACAGCCTTACAACGTCTTCCCATGGAGTGAACCAAGTCTTTGAGTTCTGCAGCTGTTCTAATGTGAAACCAAGATTGCTTCTATTAACTGGGTTTTATCGCTTCTGAGTAACAAGTTTCTTTAGTCGGCTCCATAGATTTTCAATGGGGTGAAGATCTGGGCTATTCCCAGGCCATTCCAGCAGTGGAATAGGATTATCTTGAAAACTCCAAAACAAAAAAGTGGTATTATTAACCATCAAACCTCAAAAATGCACCGTTCCCAAAAGGTTTCCAGAATTTTGGCCACTACTGTAATGAAGGTTGAGATGGCGATGTCCAAGATACGGTGCTCCCTGCTCTTGGCACCATGCATTCATTCCCCCCTCACCACTTCCTGCACCTTATCCTGGGCGTTGATCTTTGCTCCACAGGCAATGAGATGCTCAGCGCAGTCGGAGTGACCGGTACGGACAGCTACGTGCAAAGGGGTACTCCATAGCTGCAACCAGAAGGAAAGGTCCACCGTGAATCCTCCGGACGTGGCTCATTTAGGTACAGGAAAGGGGATCCCCAATCTTTCCACCACTTACCTTGTCCCGGGTGGAAATTTTGGCTCCACGGCTGATCAGCCCCTTGAGGATGTCCAGGTGTCCCCCGCGGCAAGCCCAGAACAAGGGGGTTGCCTCCAGCTGCACCAAACGAAGCAGAAAATGTTCCCTTAAGATCCTTCTTGGGCTTTCTCCAACCTTCCAAACAGGTCAGGTGCCCACACTTATGGGGTGAATGGAGAAGACTCTCTAATGCACCTCATGGGAAGTTTAGAAAGCCGATTTGGAGAAGCCGCTGGGAAGTTCTGACTTGCTGGTTATATGGCACTAAATCAGGGGTCCTCAAACTATGACCCCTGGGCTGGATACGTGCAATGAACGTTTATGTTGCTGCAGAGAGTCTCCCCCTTTGGGGTCTTTTTGTGTGGGTCAGAGGGGGGCAGAAATTTTGACTTGGGGTCTGCTTCGGCCTCCTGGTGTGGGGCTTTGGGTGAAGGCTGGAGGGAAGCACCGCTGGTGGCGAAGAGCAGGAGGGCCTCGTTCCAGTGGGACTGCCTCATGGCCTGGAACTGGCTGACCATCTCAGCCCGCTGAACCTCCAGGCGCCGGTACCTGGCATTGGACTCCCGCAGGTCTTCCCTCTGCTTGGAAAGCCTATGCTCCTAGTCCTCAGTGAGGTGCTTCTGCTGAGCCTCCTTTTTGGTCAGATCCAATTTGAACTGAACTGTTTTGCCAACTCTTTCTCGTGGAGGCTGCTTAGCTCCAACAACTGCTTCCTATTGGGGCCCTAAGAAGCCCGGGCGGGAAGGTGAGGAGTGGGTGGCAGAGGAGGGGCGAGTAGAGGCTGGTAAGGCGCCCCTCGACTTGAGTGACATCGAGTTGGCCATGCCCACCCAGTCACATGACCACCTAGCCATGTTCACCCAGCCAGTCATTAGGCAGATCATATTAGTGGTCCACGGGGTTTAAAATTATGAATTTAGTGGTCCCTGAGGTCCGAAAGGTTGGGGACCCCTGTTCTAGAGGACCTGGGAATATCATGCCGACAATTCCCCTGCCACCATAGCTAGGAATTTGGGGGCCTGCAATCCAAAGGAACCAGTTGATAAATGCTACATTAGCATCTTACTAGAATAACGATATGTATGGATCAAGCCAGGAGAAACTTGGATAGAAGAGACAGCCCTCATCTTAAGTACCCCACCCCTAAAAATACAAGCCTACCTCTGTAAGAGACAGGAGGTGTCTCTTTTTTTAAATTATTAAAATAATAATTTTAGAAAGGTAGAGTGAGTGGTGCGATGGCCTAGAGGTGGCGCTCTCGCCTCACAATCGGGAGTCTGTGAGTGTTGTGATCCGCCAGCAGTCTGCAGAGCTGGTAGCAAAGTCGGACAGTGAGGAGGCTGGGAAGGAACATGGGCCAGTCCTGGAGTCTGGGGAAGGCTCAGATGAGGGCTCTGCGTCGGAGGCAGAGAGGGGGCCAGGGCCATCTGGGAGTCATGCGCGGACTCCAGAGCCCCCAGAGTTGGACAGCAGAGAGGCAGAGGAAGAGTAGGAGCCTGTTCCTAGTGCGAGCATTCGCAGAGCTGCTAGAAGGCAAGAGCAGCTAAAGCAAAAGGGACGACTCGGGAGTAAGGCCAGGAGATGATTGGCCCCTCCCATAAGGCTTAAAAGAGAAACAAAGGCACTTGGGGCCTTTTGCAGGAAAGCAACGTTGCTAACTCTGTTTCCAGTCGGCATCTCTTGTTTGTATCTGAACTTCGTGGGGCTTTGCCAAGTAAGGCCCTTGGCAGGGTGTCAAAGATAAATTCATCCTGATAAATCATTGATAATGATTTACCAAACATTGATAAATCATCTTCATCATTCTCACTTTGCGCAAGACGTCCAGTGCTTCTCTGCAACATCAGCGCTCCGGCATCTCGGAAACGCTGGGATTGGGGATTTGTAAGCCGTCAAATCGAGACTCACTCACCATGTCTCTTGGCTCCAGTTTGGCTCCCGCTTCCAGCAGCTTGTCCACCATCTCTTTATGGCCCCGCAAACAGGCTCGGTGCAGGGCTGTGCATTTGAACTGTAGGCGAGAGCAAAAGAGAAGATTTATCGCTTGGGGATCATTCTCCAGGCTGGATTTCTCACCACTCTGGCGCTAGGAGGGTGGGGTGGGGGGCTTATTCCGAATACATCCTATCTCCCTGCGTGTGCAGCACTCCGTCGAAGAAGAGGGCGAGTTGGCATCTACTGAGAAAAAGGAGATGTCTTCAGCTCTGCTTACAAAGCCTTCCGTGCTAAAACTCACAAAATTAATCTTAACACCGGGAATCTTTGCCGATTGGTGAAGGACTGTTGCCATCACCGCCGAACAATGGGCACGTGGCTTATCACTGCTAGGAATTGGAGCCAAGCAAATTCTGGAATATTGCCGGTGTTTTTTGCCGGTATAACTCTCCATTACGGTTTTTAATTTTTGATGTTTCTGCCAATATCCATCTGGTCTATAGATGCGGCTCCGTCAATGCATTTGGTGGCCAGCAGGTGGCGCTTAAGTACCTTGATACTTGTAATGAGACTAACTCAACTGGTAGAAAACGACTTGGGGGGAAAAAATAGCAAAATTTTCGATGCATAGTTCAGAAAGATGGGGCAGGGGGGGCGGGAATCTCAGTTTTCTGCCTCAATTCATTCAGACGTCCTGAACGTATCATCAAAAACAAGTAAAAGGTAATGCGTGCTAGTCGTTCCCGACTCTAGGGGGCGGTGCTCATCTCCGTTTCAAAGCCGAAGAGCCAGCGCTGTCCGAAGACGTCTCCGTGGTCATGTGGCCAGCATGACTCAACGCCAAAGGCACATGGAACGCTGTTGCCTTCCCACCAAAGGTGGTCTCTATTTTTCTACTTGCATTTTTTACCTGCTTTCGAACTGCTAGGTTGGCAGAAGCTGGGACAAGGAACGGGAGCTCACCCCGTTATGCGGCGCTAGGGATTTGAACCGCTGAACTGCTGACCTTTCGATCGACAAGCTCAGCGTCTTAGCCACGGAGCCACCGTATTCCTATTCAAAAACAGGTAGCGTAGAGCTAAGCTCCTTTCTAATGATTCTGTGGTTCCTTATTCAGGGGCTATCAAATGTTAGAATATAAGAAATATTAATATGAAACTGCTTTCGATTTCAAATTCAAGCCGTCTAAAATGACTTTAAATCTGCTTCTCCCACCCTTCCTTTGTTTGAATCGTCATGCAGATTTCGGGTGGAATGACAGCCCCTCGGCAAATGGGGTGGGCGGGGGGGGTGTTCCTTGGTAGCCCGACTAGGTGGCTCAGTGGCTAAGACACTGAGCTTGTCGATCAGAAAGGTCGGCAGTTCGGTGGTTCGAATCCCTAGTACAGGTCTCCTGTGTGAGCAGGGGGTTGGACTAGATGACCTTTCCTACTCTGTTACTGTTAACTGGTGTCCCCACCATACCTTGTCATGAATATTGGGGTCCCCTCCATCGGCCAGATATTTATCGATAACAAGAATCCGGTTCTCCAGAGCGGCATCAAGAAACTGCTCTGGCTCCACCGATTCTATCTACGAAAAGAAAAGACAGAAATTATCCAGATTTGTATACTTGGGGGCTCAAAAGGAGAGAATCGGGGTGCATAAAGGGAGGGAGAGTCGAAACAAGCTAAGTGCGGGGAGTTTCAGGCTGCCATATTGACTTTATTTTGATTCACTGTGGTCCCTGGGGGAGGGTTCGTTTCCTGACAGTGAGAACCCTTAATCAGTGGAACGACTGGCCTCCAGAAGTCATGAATGCTCCAACACTGGAAGTTTTTAAGAAGATGTTGGATAACCATTTGTCTGAAGTGGTGTAGAGTTTCCTGCCTGAGCAGGGGGTTGGACTAGAAGACCTCCAAGGTCCCTTCCAGATTCTATTCTATTCTATTCTATTCTATTCTATTCTATTCTATTCTATTCTATTCTATTCTATTCTATTCTATTCCCTTCCCTTCCCTTCCCTTCCCTTCATTATTCTATCTATTCTATTCTATTCTATTCTATTCTATTCTATTCTATTCTATTCTATTCTATTCTATTCCATTCCCTTCCCTTCCCTTCCCTTCCCTTCCCTTCCCTTCATTATTCTATTCTATTCTATTCTATTCTATTCTATTCTATTCTATTCTATTCTATTCTATTCTATTCTATTCCATTCCATTCCATTCCATTCCATTCCATTCCATTCTATTCTATTCCCATTCCCATTCCCATTCCCCTTCCCTTCCATTCCATTCATTATTCTCTTCTCTTCTCTTCTATTCCTATTCTATTCTACTCTACTCTACTCTACTCTACTCTACTCTACTCTACTCTACTCTACTCTACTCTACTCTATCCGTGGAATGGTTGCAGGAATTGGGTATGTCTAGTTTAATGAAGAGAAGGACCAGGGGAGACATGAGAGCAGCCTTCCAATATCTCAGGGGCTGCCCCAAAGAAGAGGGAGTCAAGCTATTCTCCAAAGCACCTGAGGGCAGGACAAGAAGCAACGGATGGAAACTAATCAAGGAGAGAAGCAACCTGGAATTAAGGAGAAACTTCCTGACGGTGAGGACAATTAACCAGTAGGAACAGAAGTTGCCTTCAGAAGTTGTGGGTCCTCCATCACTGGAGGCTTTTAAGAAGAAACAAGAGCCACTTTGTCTGGGATGTCATAGGGTCTTCTGCTTGAACAGGGTCGGACTAGAAGACCTCAAAGGTCCCTTCCAACTCTGTTACTCTGTTATTCCTTTTATTAAGAATGGCAAACCACCTTCCTCTCGTTGCCAAGGAAACGCCACGGACATGAAGAAGTCTTTTATATAAAGAAGCCGAAAGAGAACGATAATTTTATCTGCAAGTTTTTATCCACCATCCTTTTTACATTTGTCCTTTCCCGAAATAGAGGCTTCCCCTGAGACTGACTTATCTTGCAAAATAGAGCTGAGAAATGAATGAGCAAAGGAGAGCAAAGGAATTTATACATGTTTTCTTCTTCTTCTTCTTCTTCTTCTTCTTCTTCTTCTTCTTCTTCTTCTTCTTCTTCTTCTCCTTCTCCTTCTCCTTCTCCTTCTCCTTCTCCTTCTCCTTCTCCGTCTCCGTCTCCGTCTCCTCCTCCTTTTACTTCTCCTCTTCCTCCTCCTCTCCTCCTCCTCCTTCTTCTCCTTCTCCTTCTCCTTCCTTTTCTTCTTCTTCTTCTTCTCCTTCCTCTTCTTCTTTACATTATTTCTGACAGATGGCAGTTCAGTCTCTTCTTGCAAGCTTCCAGTGATGAAGCTCCCACAACTTCCGAAGGCAACTTCTGTTCCATGGGTTGATTGCTCTCACTGTCAGAAAAATTTTCCTTATTTCCAGGTTGAATCTCTCCTTGATCAGTTTCCATCCATTATTCCTTGTCTGGCCTTCAGGTACCTTGGAAAATAGCTTGACCCCCTCCTCTCTGGGGCAGCCCCTCAGATATTGGATCACTGCTATTATGTCTCCCCTGGTCCTTGTCTTCACTAGACTAGCCATGCCCAGTTCCTGCAACCGTTCTTCGTATATTTTATCCTCCAGTCCCCTAATCCTCCCGGTTGCTCTTCTCTGCACTCTTTCTAGAGTCTCAACATCTTTTCTATAGTGTGGGGACCAAAACTGGATGCAGGATTCTAGGTGTGGTCTTACTAAGGCTTTATAAAGGGGTATTAGTACCTCCCTTGATCTTGATTGTATCCCTCTGTTAATGCAATTTAGGAGTCTAGGTAAGAGTGGCCGCATGTCCCAAAAACTGGGGGGGGGCAAGTTTTCTAGAAATAAGCAGGAGAGAGAGGACTAGGAGGTCCTTTGGAGGAGGCTTTTGCCCCTCCAAAAGCCCCCTTCTGAACTAGATAGATAGAATAACTTTCTTGTCACTTTGGAAGTACACTGATCGGCATAGATTAAAATGAAATTTTGTTGCATACAGCTCTCAAAAGGGTCAGCACCTCCAATATGCACTACATAAACATGACAAAATAAATAAATACAAAATTATGCATATTCCCACATATATTATATGACACGGAGAAACAACACAGTCTAGTTCGGATGTATATCTTGTACATGGCGAGAAAAATAAATCCTCCAAATTTACCAGATGGATGACATAGGGAACAAAGCTGTTTACATTAACTGGAAACCCTGCTAGAAATACTTTGAAACCCCCTCCCAGAGGGGAGCAACAGAAACAGACCGTGAAGTGGGTGCGTGGGGTCTCTAACAATGCTTCGAGCTCTAAGCACATAACTCTTATAAGCAGCATCCTGAATAACAGGAAGCGAGCTTCCTATAACCTTCTCCACTGTCCTCACCACTCTCTGTATGGACTTTCTATCTGAGGCACTGCTGCCACCAAACCATACCAATGCAGTTTGTTAAAACGCTCTCAATCGTGCACCTGTAAAAAGTGGCCGGGAGAGGAAGAGAAAGATGTGTTCTCCTCATCCGATGCAGGAAATGTAGATGCTGGTTTGCATACTTCATTAAGGATGATGTGTGGACAGACCAGTTCAGATTGTTAATTATCTGCACCTCCCAGATACTTAATATGTACCTATTATTAGTATCTAATATTAACTCCGATAAGCAAAGACATTTTTAGCCCTTGCCAACTGTCTAATCAGGACGCTCAAGGCCAGATCTAATTTCATCTCTGAGCTGGACACTTGGATCTTTCGGGGCAGCCCGACTCCTTCTCAAAGATGCTGAAGATGCCCTATCGAGGTTCTGCACGTTTGAGAAACCCTCCAGAATACTCACAACAATTTCCGGCTCCTGCGGTTTGGGGAGGACTACTTTCTTACACTTTTTCTTCTTCTGCTTGCGATGCTTGACAATGGCCGCCAAGTCATCCAAGGTGTCAATCTTCAACCTGGCATTATTGAGGGCCTCAAGCTGGAAAAGATAGTGGCGGCATGAACGTGAGGAATAATAAGCTCGTTACACAGTCGTAAGTTGGGACGCCAGATCTGAGCTGTAACTATCTAGAAGGCCTCCTAGAGCAGGAGTCAGCAACCTGGGGCTCTGGAGCCGCATGTGGCTCTTTCACCCCTCTGCTGCGGCTCCCTGTCACTCAAAATATGCGTCCCAACCGCCAATCTGCGACACCCGCCGGCACGCGATTTATTGAGTTTTTCAACCTCCAGTAGGCCAACCATGGATAAATCCAAGAAAAGAAAAGTTTCAGAAGAAAACCGAACGTTTAATTCAACTACATATGCTAGTTTTGTGGCTGCTCAAGAAATAGTCAGGCAAGGGAAGGGTTTTGTGGCTCCCGGTGTTTTCTTTCCTTTGGGAAAGGAGTCCAAATGGCTTTTTGAGTGTTTACAGTATTCTGGATCTCTTTGATGCCCTCTAGAGGTCAGTCAGAGTAAGGCTTATCTTCTATAAGGCTTTATAACCGGTTCTGTCCGGTTCTTGAGAACCGGTAGTAAAAGCGGGAGGCTCCGCCCACCCGCCCGGACAGCATAAGGTACGATCTACACATGCGCAGAAGCGCACACGTGCATGCTCCCGTTGTGAACCGGTAGTAAAGGTAAGTAGAACCCACCCCTGGATACAGTGGAACCTCCGGTCACGACCGTAATCCGTTCCAGGACTTCGGTCGCAACCCGATGTGGTCGTGGTCAGAAGCGTTCGTGACCCGAGGTTCTCCTGTAATCCAAAACATGCTTCCCACACTCCACTCTAGAAGCTTAATTAGAGTTGGATACTCCTTCATCTAACTGCAGAAAAAACAATGGCTACCAACCTGCCTTCCATTGAGGACTGCAGGAGTCAAAAAGAGGGCTGTGAAAATATCTATAGACCCCTCGCATCCTGGACATAAATTGTTTCAATTCCTGCCTTCAAAACGACGCTATAGAGCACTGTGTCAGACTTCGATGCTATCTCAAAATAAATGAATTTCCAAACTGCCAATCTTTAAGGAAATCTTTTCTTTAATTGAGCACAGCCACCGGATCATGACTCGATGCGGACAAGACTGACCTTTTGCCCCCCAATCCCTCCCTTTCCGATCCCCAATTATCTGCTTCTCATTGGCTATCTTCCAAGTCACTCTCCTGACTTCTTGTCTCATCATTTCCCAGGAATGCCTCCCCTCCTCATTTCCACGACAACCCGGCTTCAAAGGGATTTAGCAGGCAAAAGTTCAGAGCTTATCTCTCTCTCTCTCCCCTGCTCTCAATGCCAGTGTTGAAACGCTGACACACCGCACACCGGAACAACTAGACACAAGGACAGTTTTTTCCCCAAATGCCATCACTCTGCTAAACAAATAATTCCCTCAACGCTATCAAACTATTCACTAAGTCTGCACTACTATTACTATTCATCTTCTCATTGTTCCTATCACCCATCTCCTCCCACTTGTGACTTTAACAGTTAACAGAGTTGGAAGGGACCTTGGAGGTCATCTAATCCAACCCCCTGCTGACACAGGAGGCCTACATTAGGGATTCAAACCGCCGAACTGTCGACTTTTCTGATTGACAAGCTCAGTCACCGCCTTCTGAGGGCATCTCTATGTCAGGGTTCCAAGGAATATAGCCATGGCGAACAAGATTCCGAGGCAGGTAGATTCCTCAAAGAATTGTTTTATTTGGATATATCATATTGGCACAGTTCTGGTGAAAACTGTGGGAACCTTCAGGCGACCCCTTGATTGTTGGACCATGTGACCGATTGTTTGGGGAGGAGGAAAAACTTTTAATTAGGTGAAAACAACAGTAACCCTCAGAGTTGGAACGTTTTTTCCCCTTCCCCAAACAGACAAATGGTCCAATCAAGGTGCCATGGTAACATCGCTCCTCCTCTCTCTCTCGGGCCACCTGTGGAAATGTCCTTGGTTCCCAGGAGAAAGTATTTTGTTTTGGCTACAAAACCCCAGCTTTTTTCAAATCCCCCTTCCCTATCCCTCCGCTCCAGTGTGGCAACAGAAGCTCAGCTTTGGGGTCGACACTCTACAGCTTTTACAGAAATTCAGTCAACGGCTCACCTTTTTCTTCTTCTCGTCTTCCGCTTTCTGCTTCTCTCTTTCCACCGATTCCCACCAGGGCCCAGCCGGACCGGAGCGCCAACGTTCAGGTTCCCAGGCTGAGCCTCTCGCACGTGCTGCAAAACAGCCGACTTTCTCTTCGGGCCGTTCCTCACTTACCTACGGAAAGAGAGACCAAGGAGGAAAACAGTCACAAGAAGGATGCTGTTTGTGGGTCGTGCGAGGCCTTCCAAGGCATTTTAACCAGGGGTGAAATCCAGCAGGTTCTGGAGAACCGGTAGCGGAAATTTAGAGCCTTGGTGGCGCAGCAGACTAAAGCACTGTTAAGTAACACCAGCTGCCTGCAATTACTGCAAGTTCAAATCTCACCAGGCTCAAGGTTGACTCAGCCCTCCATCCTTTCGAGGTAGGTAAAATGAGGACCTGGTTTGTGGGGCCAATAAGCTGACTTTGTATAAAAAAGAACACCGCTTAGAGGGGACCGAAAGCCCTACTAAGCAGATATATACAAAAGTATGAAGGCTATTGTTTAACGCATTGTAAGCCGCCCTGAGTCTCTGGAAAAAGGCGGCATATAAATCGAACCAATAAATAAAATAAATAAATAAATTTTGAGCAGTTCGGAGAACCGGCAAATACCACCTCTGGCTGGCCCCAGAGTGGGTTGGGAATGGAGATTTTGAAATATCCTTCCCCTGGAGTGGGGTGGGAATGGAGAGTTTGCAGTATCCTTCCCCCCAGGAATGGCGAAGGAATGGGGATTTTGCAGTATCCTTCCCCTGGAGTGGGGTGGGAATGGGGATTTTGCAGTATCCTTCCCCTGCCACGCCCTCAAGCCACGCCCACAGAACTGGTAGTAGAAAAATTTGGACTTCACCACTGATTTTAATGCCCCCGAACGGGAGTGGGGGGGCGAGTGGGCGCTGCTGGGAGACAAGGAGGCGTGGATCGAATGGAAGGAATCCAGAAGTTTGCAGAAATTAAAAACAAAATATTGACAGCCTTAATAAAAGAGGCGATTTGTTTCCTCAAATAGATGACATGGGAGCCGAGCCGAGCCCGGAAATAGAAATAGAAAGCAGCAGCTGGAAAGGGGAAGGGAGAGAGAGGGAGGGAGGGAGGCAGTGGCATGAACCACTGGAGGAAGAGACGGGTTGCATTTTTTAACAGATGCCCTCTTGTTGGCATTCTACTTTTGGCTACCTAATTAATTCATCAGCCACAGCAGGAGGTCCATCATGTTAAAATAAAGTTTTGGCCATACAATTGGTTTAGTTCTGAAGCTAATGAGGGTTTACTCAATCAAGCGCTGTTTATAAGCAATTCTTTTAATATTGCTTTCTTGGTGGGTTGTTGTAGCTACTTCTCTGTTACTTCTTCAAGAAAGAAAATTGAATATGGAAATAATGGAAATTCCAGAAGTGGAATCCGGATCCTGAGGTTCACTCTAGATTTCAAAAGGCAGCTGGGAAAGCATCCCCATTAGGCTTTTCCAAGCCTTGTTTTTCTTTGAAGACATTTTGCCTCTCATCCAAGAAGCTTCTTCAGTTCTGTACAACTGAAAAAATGCTTTTAAAAGTAAAAAAAAAAAAAAAGCCTCTGATGATCACGCAGCTCAGCTGGGATCGTCAGAAGCTTTTAAAAGCATTTTTTTTCTGCAACCTCATCGGCCGAAAAAATGCTTTTAAAAGTAAAAAAAAAAAGCCTCTGATGATCACACGGCTCAGCTGGGATCATCAGGGGCTTTTCAAAACATTTTTTTCTGCAACCTCTTCAGCCGAAGAGATTGTAGGGAAAAAAATCCCTTTAAAAGCCGCTGGCGATCCCAGCTGAGTTGCCTGATCGTCAGAGGCTTCTAAAAGCATTTTTTTCTGCAACCTCTTAAGGTTGTAGAAAAAATGTTTTTAAAAGTTTTTTTTTTAAAAAGTTGGCCACGCCCACCCAGTCACATTACCCCCCACTAAGCCACACCCCACAAAATAAGCCACGCCCACAGAACCGGTAGTAAAAATATTTAAACCCACCCCTGAAACAGATGTAATTACTAAACAAGAAATTGAAGACGGATGCAAATAGATAATCGGGGCTGCTCGAATAGCATTCTAGATTAAATTGAAAAGGGAAACAACAAGAGAGAGGGAAAGGAGTAGAGAGAGAGGAAGGAAGGAGAGAGGAAAGGAGAGGGAGAGAGAGAAGAGAGGGAAAAGGAGAGGGAGGGGAAAGAGGAGTAGGAGAGAGGGTTAGTCCAATCGATTGGATTAAGCGAAAAGAAAGTGGATAAAGATATACGTAGTAAAGCATATAGATAATCTTGATGAGTACTAAATTTTACTTTTCTTTAATAGTGAACTTTAAACTAAGAACTGATAATTGAGAGTGTATTTTCATGCTTATTTCATATAAATACCAACAATGACTTCACCGTCAGGAGAATAAATATGGGACTAGGTTATGAAATATATAATGTGTAGAGAAGAAGAATATATATAGACATGTAAAAGAATAGAAATGAAATGTTAAATATATGATATGATCTATGTATATGAATATCTTATTATGGTTTTAATTGTTTTTATAATTGTTTGATAATTTAATAAAGTTTGTTAAAAAAAAAAGGAGAGAGGGTTAGAAAGGGAGGAAGAAGAGAGGAGGGGGGGAGGGAAGGGGAAGTAGGAAAGAGAAGGAGAGGAAGAACGGAGAAAGTAGGAAGAGATGGAGAAAGGAAGAGAAGGGGAGGAGAAGAGGAAAGGTTGTGGTAAAATAAAGGAGGGTAAAGGGTAAAAGGGCAGCCCCGAACAACTAAAAATGAAAGGTAAGAGATAAGATGAATGGAAAATGATGGAAGGTTTAACAGATTAACAGAGTTGGAAGGGACCTTGGAGGTCTTCTAGTCCAACCCCCTGCTTAGACAGGAAACCCTACACCCCTTCAGACAAATGATTATCCAACCTCTTCTTAAAAACTCCCAGTGTTGGAGCATTCGCAACTTCTGGAGGCAAGTACAGAGATAAGTCTTAGGGAAATGTTATAGTTGCAGCTTATTGGTTTTATCTCATCAGCCATCCAAAATCATGCAGCTGAGATGGGCAACTGGAGCAATTTCAATTAATTAAATTAATAATTCCATTACACACCCCTTCCTCACTTGCAAGGAAGGCTGCATTCAGACAAGATTCTTAACATCACCGAAATTCATCCGTTCGCAATTAAGTTGACCCTGATCAAATGCAGCAAATATCTGACCCAGTTTGTGGTGTTGTGTGAAAACAAGCCATACCAAGTGGCCCTTTAATCAGAAATGAGAGCAAAACATCCTGCTTCTTGTAAGATGTTAAGGGATTCGGCAAACTACTAATCGGAGAGCGAAAGGTGTTTGTTAAATCCCGAGTGACATTTGCCGAGGCAGATGACATATTTGCCTGATTGTCGAAACGATGCCGTTACTCAGAATTATGCAGATCATCCCCACAAATAACATAAAATTAAGGTTCAAAAATTAACAAGTTGAACTGCTTGATCCAGATGCTGGATGCAAAGGACTGAACATATTTTAGAGCAGGGGCGTCAAACTCAATTTCATTGAGGGCCGCATCAAGGTTGACCTTGGGGGTGGGGGGGAAGCGGGCGGCTGTGGCCGACTGGGTGGGTGTGGCCAACTGGGTAGGTGTGGCCAACTGGGTGGGTGTGGCCATCTTGACGCCACTCCCCAAACTGTTGGCATGTTTTCTTTTTTGCATTGGTTAGACCGAACTGAAGCTACGCTGGCCCGATCTTTCCTCTTTGCATTGGATAAACCAGGAGTCAGCAACCTGCGGCTCTGGAGCCGCATGTGGCTCTTTCACTCCTCTGCTGCGGCTCCCTGTCACTCAAAATATGCGTCACAACCGCCAATGTGCAACACCCGCCAGCACGCGATTTATTGAGCTTTTCAACCCCCAGTAGGCCAACCATGGATAAATCCAAGAAAAGAAAAGTTTCAGAACATTTAATTCAACTACATATGCTAGTTTTGTGGCCGCTCGAGAAATAGTCAGGCACGGGAAGGGTTTTGTGGCTCCCGGTGTTTTCTTTTCTGTGGGAAACGAGTCCAAATGGCTCTTTGAGTGTTTAAGGTTGCAGACCCCTGGTTTAAGGAGAAATCACAAAAATTCATTGCAGGGAAAAAATTCGCCATAAACAGTCACTCCCCCCTCCCCCCAAACAGCCTAACAAAACCTCCAGATTCAGGCGAAGTCTACCTGCCTAGGCTGGCAAGGGAATGACAGAAATTAGAAAAGGGGGAACGGCGTTCAGCGTTCCGTTTCCAGCTTTTCCTACCCCTGTCGGCATGGAGATAGAACACAGAAAACAATTCCATCACATTTTTGTTATGATTTTAATTCTGGCTCCTCATGCATTTTTAAAGTGACAAGCGGCTTATGAATTATTTCTGGTTGATTGCGTTGTCATGTTATTTTAATTGTGTTTTAAATCAAACGCCGGCCTTGTCAACGGCTGGGTATGTGCCTTGTTGTGGAACAGCAAGGTATAAATTATGGAAAGTAAACAAGCACTGAGGCCTCTCTGGCAGGAGAAAACGGGGCGGCTCTGATCCGACAGCTTTCACCCGTGTTGGGCTGCAGTGCTCATCACTTTGGGGAATGATTGGACGGGTTGAGGATGATGGTGGGTAGAATCAGGGGTGGGCTGCTGGGGGTTCGCAGGGGTTCGGGAGAACCTCTAGCTAAGATTCTGTGCAGTTCGGAAAACCCCCAAATCCCACTCCTGGCTGGCCCCGCCCACCCCTCCCCTCCCAGGAGTCCCCACGCGGGGGCCATTTTGGACGCAGGTAAATGCAGGGTGCGCGCGAAGGCTCGGGGAGGGCAAAAAACGGGCCTACTGGAAGTTTGGGAAGGCCAGAAAGGGGCTTGTTTCCTGCCTCCAGAGGGCCTCCGGAGCCTGGGGAGGTCATTTTCGCCCTCCCGGAGACTCAAGGAAAGCCTCCAGAGCCCGGGGAGGGCAAAACCGGAATCTATTTCCTCTAGAACAGGGGTCTCCCAACTGTGGCAACTTTAAGCCTGGAGGACTTCAACTCCCAGAATTCTTCAAGTTCTGGAGGCCTTCAACTCCCACAAGTCTTAAAGTTGCCAAGGTTGGAGACCCCGAATGTAGTCCAACCT